ATCGGCGCTTTGAGTGAACTGGGCACTCTTTGAGGGCCAGTCTTACTGGCTACAGTAAGACCTGTCAAAGCGACCACTTGGATAAGGCGACCACCTGTCCTAAAAGACCACTGGAACCAGGACCAAGGGATGCTTTTTCCAGTCAACTGACCCTGGATAAGGAGACCACCTGGTAACAGAGACTGGATATATGTTTTTTGTCGAAACGATGACCTCGATGACCTCGCATACTGTATCCCTGACCCTCTCCTGTGAACATGAAGGTGTATACGAGTCAGAGTTGCATGCATCTTGAGCATCCTGTCGGTACTTGGTTCTGGACTAGCCTGTCGGTACTTGGTTCTGGACTAGCCTGTCGGTACTTGGTTATGGACTAGCCTGTCGGTACTTGGTTCTGGACTAGCCTGTCGGTACTTGGTTCTGGACTAGCCTGTCGGTACTTGACAAGTTCTGGACCGGCCAGATACACACCATAGTGTACTAGTACCAGCTTGTGACGATGTTGGTAGTGCGGCGGGTGGCCAGTGAAATCCAGCTGCATGAGTACACCAGCCCGGGGACTGCACCACTTTAGCACTATGAATCCTGGACGGTGCAGTGAGCGCAGGTCTGTCTTATTTACGGGGTTGGATTATACTCACTGCCACCATTGTGTATCATAATTATTATGTTATCATTGCACGGGGTTTTTCTACTGCATTGTACGCAGATTACTCTGTATTACATACGTTCGCAGTACAAGTTTGTGTGCCGCTGGTGGCTTTGTTTAGGAGCAAGCGAAACACGACGCTGACCTAGCCACTTTGCAGCAGAGACGCGAGAGTGACCAGCAGAAGCTAATCCAGACCGTTCAGCAAGGTATGTTTTGCATGTAATTTGAAATCATTCTGCATGGACCTTGCTTTCTGCACTGTTGCAAGATAGCACTCTTTTTCAGTCAATGCTTGGTATTGTTTTGTTTCTTCTTGGCTCATTCTGCATGTACCTTGCTGTCTACACTCTTGCAAGATAGCACTCTTCTTCAGTCAATGCTTGGTATTGTTTTGTTTCTTCTTGGCTTGATGGATCCTTGAATGCTGTGTCTGTCTGTCTGTCTGTCTGTCTGTCTGTCTGTCTGTCTGTCTGTCTGTCTGTCTGTCTGCATGTCTGTGACAACGGGACAAGTTTCCGTATGTGTGCGTCTGATCACGTCCGACTGCCCTCATATTTGGAACGCCGTGCTCCTTCTGTCCCTTTGCTGCCCCTCCGGTGCCCATGTGGCCCTAGTGGTAATGGCTCTACAGGACAGGTCTGTGTCTGTGTCTATGTGTTTGTGTCTGTGTCTGTGTGTACAGAGGAGAAAACCTATAACGAAGCCGTCGCTCAGAAAATGCGTGAAGCAGACAGGTGGGTGTAATTGCTCACCTTTTCCTTTCTTCTTCCTTCTTTTTTTAAATGTTTGTGCTGTTATCCCTTTCTTATCGTGTGCCTTACCTGGGTGTGACCGAGAAAAGTCAGCGCCTGGGACACAGGCATTCACTTGGTAGATCAGGTCAGTTCATGGCAGGTTCGAACGAGTAGAGGCTATAATTATGCATTCTGCCTAGGCTGTGAGTCAATTGCATAGAGATCAGTTAACATGTACTAAGAGTCCATAACCCCCAAGAGTGTGCAACTGCCTGCACAACTTTTATACAGTGCTCTGACGGCAGAACTTCACACCACGTGACGTGGTTCAAAAGGTTACGCTGGCAAACAGTGCAAAGTGACCACAGGAGAGTTGAACCCGAAGCAGGGTTGTACGCTATCATTCACAGGGTGCAAATAATGTGTACGGGTTCGTCTAATAATAATGCTAATAATTAGCATTTCCGTTAGTGAGACAAGGAAAATCATCATGTCTACACACAAAAAACCTTCGGAATTTAATAGCGTATTAAAACGGTAAAATGCTAACCATGTCTACATTGTAGCACAGTGTAAAGGCTCAGTTCACTTTGTTTTGTAGTTGAGAGTGTCATTCCGATGCCAGACATTTGCAGCTGGGGGTTTAGCTCAGTGGTAGAGCGCTCGCTTTGCATGCGAGAGGCCGTGGGTTCGAACCCCACATCCTCCATTTTTTGAAGCATACGGTAATTCTTTGTGTGTGACCTGCAATGGTCGTTTCACTTATTACTCATGCATGTCGAGATAATAGGAAGAAAGGCTTACAGCCGGAAACTTGTCCTCCGTGTTGCTATATGATTCTTTCTTGTTTCGCTCATTTGATGGTTTCTTTTTATTCTTTTGCTTTTTGTTTGTATTTTTAAAGGAGTCCCCATACCAGTAGGCTGTTGACCTGATGTACAGTTGTGCTCGGTGAAATCCGACCCAGAGTGCATATTTGGTGCCCTCAGCTTGCACGGCCCTTGTTGTACTGGCAGTGGCACGAATTCTGCTGGACGTACACATGTACAAGTACGATGATGTAATCAGAACTGGTTCGGGGCGCCAGCTTTGCACTTTGGGTCGGATTTCACCGAGCGCAACTGTAGCTTTGAAAAGTTTCAGCAAGAGTCCATACGCGAGAGTATGCAACTTTGTCCCCTTTTTATGGGCCAGATGTGCTGCGCACTGCCTGCATTACATCACGCAGCTACATCCACGCGCTGCAGAAAATTAACACCTCGCGAACACTAATACTGTGGTTTGAAATCTTTGAATCCTACATCCGTACGGAAATGAATTTCATGTCCTCAAGATTTAAAAAGTTCGCGTCTGTACTTTAACGAAATCAAGCAAAACCGGATGTGCTGGTACGAGAGATACTCTAATTTCAGAAAATGTTGGTACTCAATATTTTCGGTATGAGGGCAAAAGGCCAGGTTAAGAAATTTTGGGTACAGAGAAGCAATTCCCTTTTGGACTACCGGTATGTGTGTTGGTGTTTGTTAGGTGTACTGAAGTATTGAAAATTTAGGTAAGAAACAGATGCACCGAAAGTACCGAAAATAAAAGTACACCGAAAATTTGTGAAATTACAATGGTCATAATAGTGGTCAGCGTGGCCCAGTGTTGAAAAATCTTCTGTTACCTGATACCTTTTTTTAAAAACTTTTTGGGTGTTGTTTTTCTTGCTCCAGGGCAAGAGAGGAAGATATTCGCAAGGCACTGGATCATGACAAGTAAGTGGTTAATGAATACAACTGGGAAGTCTGAAACTGACATTGACAACAGCCGAGCGTTCTAGAAATTGGCTGGTGGGCACAGGCGGTTGAAGAACTGTAGAATTTCTCTGGGTAGATCTAACTTCTCCTGAAGTACGCTGTAGTGGATAACGCCAACTGCCCTGGGTCCCATTTTCCCCGGGCTGTCCCCCTCCCTTACCGCATCTGACGCCTGATCATCGGGTGGTGGCGTCCCACGGAAGCGGGAAGGCAGTTCTTGACCCGCCCTGTATGCGAACCCGTGCAATTCTTTGGTTTATTTTATTTTATTCCCCTTGGCAGGATGATGCTGGAGCAGCTGTCGTCCATGCGACAGGAGTCTGAGCAGTTACGTCGTGGAGAAGTCTTGGACGCCATGCAGAGGCTCTTGTCCAAGTCTCGTCATCACGAGTTACTGTGCATAGCACAGATCACAGAGCGACAACGATTGGCCAAGCAGGCATTGAAGGAATCGTAAGTGCTTCAAGTGCCAGTTACTCTGCTAAGTTATGACTTGGGCTAGGGGAAGTCAGGGGGGGGGGGGGGGGAGGCGAGGGGGTTTGTGGGGGATGGCTGGGATTGGTGGGGGAGGCAAGGGGGGGGGGGGGCTGATTTCTCTCAAAGGCAATCGTGCTGGTCTGTTGCCCCCCCCCCCCCCCACACACACACACTGTGTCAGTTCTTATGCTGACCTTTCATACAAACTTCCAGTCAACTTCCCCATCATGCGCTTGGTTTATATTGGGCATATAAACCCATATATACCCAGTATAAACCTCATATATACCACCACAATATAAACTCCGAGATTGGGAGGAAGCTAGCTTCAAAGTGTTATCAAATCACCTAGGCAGAAGGGGGTGGGAGAGAATGCTTACTCTTCAACTTCTTGCGAGCGACAGCAGAACGCTCTGGGTGAATATTGAAAACAATAGAGCTGCGGTTGAAAGTGGTGGAAGCAATATAAGGAGAAACAGCAGAAGCAGAACACTGAGCAGCAGAGGAAACAGAACTCTGATCGGTAGAAGAACAGCTCTGAACAGGGGCGGGTGTAACAGGCTGCGCAGAATGGTTTGACATGTCAGCAAGATGCGGTCGCAAATCAATAGCTTCAGCCATGGAACAGGAATCTTTCAATTTGGGCCTATCATAAGCGGTTAGAGATTGAACATTTCGATGCCCAGAAACGGAACAAATTCGCTTATCATCTACTCCGCATTTCTTCATGTTGGTAATAGATGTTGCTCTTACACAGTGATTCGTATACAGCATGGACAAATGAGCATCTGCAGACAAACGCTTCATCATACCAGACAGAATATTGCGCGAGAGAGGAATTTTCATGAACCAGCAGTTGGTAGAATCGGCCATCTCACCTGATAGCGCTAGCTGGAACACGCGGTTTTTGTCTGGATGTAGCCTCGACCGATAGTGCTTGATTGCCGGCAACTGAAACTCATCACGGATCACACCAGCAGAAGACCACTCAGAGCCTTGAAGTCCGCCTTGGTGGTTTTTGGAAACAAATGATGTTGCGAGCCGCAAGACTTCCTGGCCATCTATGGTCGCGAATTGGAGATTGTCCTTCGTCAGCTTTGCTTGCATTTCTCCGCCCCTCAAACAGAAGTGGATGGTTAGCTGGAACCACACAAAGTACTTCAGCTTGCGCACATCCGTTGTCTTCAGTACGTCAGAGAAGTATTCTCTTAGAAGAGACCAGTCTTTTTCGGATAGAGGTTGCTTGTGTTGAACTGCAAGCTCGAGACCATCACGTTTGCGTGCTTTCAACACTCCGTCCAGGACTTTGTTCGCCCTTGAGAAAGCACTGTCATTGAAGATGTTGATCTACCTCGAGAATGACGATATGTGACGCTGAAGAGCACCACTTGCAGATTGAAGACTGCTTTTTGCAAACCCAGAACCATCCTTCTGCTTTGCATTCGCGTAGAAGGACGAGAGAACATCACAAAGCCTTTCACATGTGACTCTTTTGAAATCAACGACTCCTAAAGGTTCGTCACCCCTCAAACAAAACTCATCAAACAATCGCAGCCAGTACTGAGTAGACACGCGAGTGTTCTTGGGAACACCCTCGGCTATTAGCTTGGTCTGGTCATCATGGCTGATAGACCCGAAAACACGCTTCTGAGGAGACCCGTCACTCATTGTTCTAGAAAACAAGAAACACGAAGACACTAACCTAACACAGGAGAGACACAGAAGGAATGAGTACTTAGCAGCTAGTGTGGCCAGTTTTACTTTCTGTTTTGGTGCGCAGGTAAACCGGACGTGTGTTTTGGTGCTTGTATGCGAAGTATAAACCATCATACGAACCTCGGCTGCGCCTCGGTTTGTAATATCGGTTTATATTTCACGTACAAGCGTACTATTGGGATGTATTACCGGTACATGTATATACATACACTTGAAGTTACTCAAATCTGTGGACAGCAACTGTTTCGCTCTGTTAGAGCTCCCACTACACTTGAAGTTACATTGCTGTGTGCCAGGACTTGACATTAATTTGAATTATTTGTTGTTTTCTTCGATGTTTTCTTCGCATTGTTGCCATGCAGAAATGCCATCGCTGATGCTCAAGTTAGTCTTGTCCTGGAACAGCAGAGTGAGTTCCAGAAGAACCTCCTGAATCAGATCGCCAGTGAGGTAGGCAGCCGCAGCAGCAGCAGCAGCAGCAGCGCAACTCTTAACTTCTTTACAACGTATTTCCTTGTTGTCCACTGTGACCTTGAGCAGTGTGCCTTTCTTGCAGCAGTGCATTCAATAGTGACCCTTCCTTTACTGATGTCAGCCATGCGTGTAACTTGCCATGTGATGAAGGAATGCCTGCTTTTGCGAGGTGGTCGTATGCTGGATGTTGTGATGCAATTCTGATGTGAGTGCATTGTGATCTTGTGATGCAATTCTGATTTGAGTGCATTGTGATCTTTGCTTGTCTGCTCTTCTGCTCTAGGATCTTGCACAGCGCTTGGCGTTTGAGGCACTGCTCCTTGACAAGGATGACCAGCACACGAAGGCAACACAGCAGGTAGGCATTGGCAACATGGGCATTTTTTATGTGTATCTGTATATCTGTACAGGTACAATGTAACCCGGTATCCCCTTATGTACCAGCCGTCTAGTGTATACAAGGGATGGTCATCATCAAAGATACAACCATGGTATGAAATCTAGACAACTTCTCTGTAGGCAAGTTGTGTTTTCCTGAATGTGCATCTATTTACAACTACAATGTACATGCTACAGCTTAGCTCAGTTGTTAGAGCATCGCTGGCTACACCATAGCTCAGTGGCTAGAGCATCGCTGGCTACACCATAGCTCAGTGGCTAGAGCATCGCTGGCAAGCGAAGGTCGCTGGTTCAAGTCCTGGTGGTGACAGTCAATTTTTTCTTCAGACTTTTCCCTTGTCCATTCCCTCAACCTATGAATATATTCAATATACAATGTTCATACCGGTATTCATCCGGTAGAGGTGAAACGAATACACCGCTGGGCGCTGAGGTCCTGGTTTTGAATCCTGGCCGGGACAGTCGGTTTTCTAAGCCCTCCAATCCCCGTAACCCAGCGTGTGTGTGTTGTGCTCTTCTCTTAGATTGTGGCTCTGCAGCAGGAGTTGGCACAGCTCACCAACATGGAAATCAGCCGTAAAGCCAAAGAGCAGAATACCAATCAGGTAAGTGCTGTGCCCTTCTACCCCTGCTTCTTGCAGTACTCTCCACTGCTTGGCTCACTGGCCAGGAAAAGCCCCCCTCCCTCACACATGCACACATGCACACACATACACTCACACACATGCACTCACACATGCACTCATACATGCCCTCATACATGCCCTCACCCATTCACTCACACATACACATACATGCACGCACACACTCACACACACACACACACACACACTCACACACACACACACACACACACACACACACACACACACACACACACACACACACACACACACACACACACACACACATGCGCACACACACGCACGCACACACACACACACACACACACACACACACACACACACACACACCTTGGTCCTTGGTAACACTGCCATCAAATGGTCACGTGTCCCCTGTGCAGGGGTCGACAGCACTGAGTTCAGCATTGGACCCAGAAACGCCGCTCTACTTCCTGGACAGGAAATTAGCACAGCTATGCAGGTCGAAACCACGGGATGACTTGCAGCAGCGACCGCAGCCGAGACAATGCGCTCTGCAGCAGGGCAGGGCAACCCGCTGTTTCCGGACCGAGTCTGCCGATGCCACAGTCGAGACCGACGCCACTTCAGCAGCCGAGTTGGAGAGACACTTATGCGAAGCTAGCCCGCCAGCACTCAAGAACCATCTCCCGCACGCATTACATAGTCGGCTGCCGGACTGCTCAGATATGGGCTTCCTCCTCTCGGCCAGGCACTTGTGGCGATTCTTGTATTTCTGGTGGGCGAAAGTACGCTGGCAAACATCGCAGAGCACAGAAGTGTCACGCTGAGCCGATCGCGGTACTGGTTGAGCGGAATACGCACTGCGCCATTTCCCACGCTCCTGGGCGAGGTCGTACCATTCCGTGTGGTCGATGTTCACTGCGGAGAGGTCAGCTCTGACAGAGTCTCGCCACCGTTTCCGAGGACCGCAAGCCGGCCTCGGCGGAAGGAGCGCACCAAACAGGAGCTGGCGCGGAGTTCTATCGCCGTCCATCCTAGCTAGATGGCCTAGCCACTCCAGACGGCGGCGAAGAACACGTGTGGTAATATCCACTGGATCTCGACGATTCCAGGCCTCCAGAATGGTCTTCCTGTTGATGTGGAAGTCCCAGGTGTCTCTTCTACCGAGGGCTAAGATTGCGGAAATGCAGCGAAGATGGAAGGCGGACAGCGCCGCAAGCTCGCTTTTCAGTGGTACCCAACACTCCGCTCCGTAAAGGAGAAGAGAAGCCACACATGCATCATACACCATTCGCTTCGTTGCCAGTGAAAGATCGCCATCATCAAAGACAGATCGACGCAATGCTCCGAATGCCCTAGATGCTGACGCTATTCGGGACCGAGTGTCCACTGCGGTGCGGCCACCAGTATGGATGATGGAGCCTAGGTAGCGAAAGTCATGCACATTCTCGACAATTTCCCCGCCAACCACCAATGGACGACGATCCTCCGGAGAAATGCCGAAGCCGACCGCCATTACTTTGGTTTTTGATAGGTTGATGGTGAGGCCGAAGCGAGTTGCGACGTCCATGAACCGGCTGAGCGCAAGTGTGGCACCATGGTGAGTTGTAGCAATAAGTGCCGAATCGTCTGCGAATTGACAGTCACGATGGATGTTGATTGTGTCAGTCTTCTGGCGTTTGAAAAGGAGAGACGGTCCAGAGTTAGAGGAGACGGGAAGTCCAATCTCAGGTATGTCCGCAACCTCACGCTGCCACAGCTGGAATACTGCCCACATGAATATATTGAACAATACTGGGGCCATACAACAACCTTGTCGAAGGCCATTTTGCACCTCAATAGGCTCGGCCTCGATGCCCGGGATCGACAGGTTTGCAGACATAGAGGTATGAAATGAGCTGATAATGGTAACCAGCTTGTCAGGTACGCCCGCCTTCCGGAGAATTTCCCACATGCACTTACGGGTGACGGAATCATAGGCCTTCCGTAGATCAACAAAAACCATGAAACCAGAGCAGCGATGTTCATATAGTTTCTCAGATATTTGTCTCACCGCGAAGATCATGTCCGCACAAGATCTGCCTTTGCGGAATCCACACTGCGTGTCTGGTAGGATGTCTTCCGCGAGCCGCTGCAATCTTGTCTGGACGAGGCCAGCAACAGCCTTTCCTACCACCTCCAGAAGAGCGATGCCCCTCCAATTGTCACAGCTGGATAGATTTCCTTTTTTTGGTATCGGGACAAGCTGGCAGTCCACCCACTCCTGGGGCACCCGCTCTGCATTCCACACTGTCTGGACAAGGTCTAGTAGTGCCATCATGAGGCCATCCCCACCAGCCTTCAGCAGTTCCGGTAAGATTCCAGAGCCTCCTGCTGCTTTTCCGTTCCGTAGTCGGCGCACAGCCTGCCTAAGCTCTTCCAGAGTAGGTGGATCGGCGAGGTCTTCACACACTTCCTGTTGCTCAATGGTGGCAACAGTCGCAGGTTCATACGAGGTTGGAACATTGTAAACCTTGGAGAAGTGACGGTGCCATGTGCGGCCCTGATCCGCCGGTGAATTACAGACATTTCCGTTCTCGTCCCGCACAGCGACTGCAGTTACACCCACAAGCCCTCGCCGAGCCGTCTGCATGGTCTTGATACCGGCCCAAATGCGCGCCGAGTCAAAGCGCCCCTTCTCAGTACGTTGTGCCATGGCAGCAAACCAATCATTCTTCGCAGCTCGGGTGGCAGCGCGAGCCCTCGTGCGCGCAACACGGTAGCGCGAATACTCTTCCTGATTCCGGCCACTAGTGATCCATGTTCGATAGCATGCATTGCGCGCGTCCAGCAGTGGCCGCAGCCCGTCCTGGCTTTCCGTAAACCAATCAGGCTGCCGTCTCCTCTGATGACCGAGAGTGTCCGCAGCTGCCGCCGTCACCACGTCCCGCATCGCATTCCATTTCTCGTCTACCGTTTCCGCGTCCGCCACTGCATCAATCTTGGCATTGATGTTTTCCTGGTAGTCGTCAACCTTCCTCCGGTGGTTTCCCTCAGCATCTGTCGAAACCACTGCGGGCAGATTATGCACTGCAAATCGTACTCTCTTTGTGGATTTCCGCGGTTTCCACAAGACCCTGCCGAGCCTAAACCTGGCGGCAACAAGACTATGGTCGCTCCCACATTCTGCCGAGCGAATAACCTGAGCATCAGTGCACCAGTGCCGGCTCCCTTGCGCTGTGATGATGAAGTCAATACAATGGACATGTTTAGTTCTGGGATGCTGCCAAGTGCCTTTCAATTCCTGCTTTTTCCTGAACCAGGTGTTCGCGATCCAGCATTGATGCATTGCCAGAAACTGAAGTAGCTCCTCTCCAGACGAATTCAGGCAGCCCAAGCCATGTGAGCCACGCACAGCGCTCCAATCATCACCTGGCTCTCCAGACCCCACTCTGGCATTGAAATCTCCAAGTAGAACAAATTTATCTGTGCACGGTATTGAGTTGAGTACTCCTTGCAGAGAGTCATAAAACGCATCCTTTTCACAGCGCTTACTGTTGAATGTTGGCGCATAAGCTGTAACCAGCGACATCCATTCAACCTCTCCACTCGCCAGATCAAACTTCAAGCGTATGGACAACAACCGAGCGGATACTGCGACGAGTTGACAACCCCCTTCGCGCCAGGCCCGAAGCGCATTTCCCCTCAGCACAAACGCAACGCCCTCACCTCGCCGTCTGGACGCTCCTTCCCCAGGCACAGGCCGACCCGAAGCAATGACCATTGCTCCGTGGACTTGATAGTTTTCCTGACCAAACCAGTGGGTCTCTTGAAGAGCAGCGGCGTCCATCTCCAAGCGTTCCAGATGTTGTACAATTTGATAAATTTTTTTATCGTCGGCAACAATTCCACTCGCGGCAGCCGTCTGAATGTGGCCCTCACTCTCAACCAGAGAGCGTACGTTCCAAGAGCCCATGCTGAATACTCCATGCTGTCGTTTTCTTTGTGCTGTAGATGTCACCACTCGCGGGCTCGCAACGCCTCGCGAAGGCATCTGAGAACGGGACGACGACAAGAGTGTCGACATCAAAAATCGTCGACCAAGTCCGCCGCCGATATTCCCGCCTCAGTATGTTATCCTGGACGGCTGGGGAGGCCCCAGGCCGCCCAGGCCTGTCTCACTATGTCCAGAAACAGTCAGGAGAGGAAGACTTACAGAGAGCAAAAAAAACTCAAACTGTCCCCACCCAAAGCAAGGACACACACACACACACACACACACACACACACATGCACTTAGGTCCATGTCCTGTCTTTGCCCATGCGATGGTCATGCACAGTGTCATACGCAGCATGCATGCTGTTCCGGTGTTCACATGAGCCAGCTACTCGTGCTATTTAACAATTTGTGACGTGACTGGTGGATGCACTAACTATAACGTGCAGTATTGCTCTCTTTTCTCGCTTGTGTGTGTGTGTGTGTGTGTGTGTGTGTGTGTGCGTGCGTGTGTGTGTGTATGCATGCGTGTGTGCGTATGTGTGCGTGCATATGTGTGCGTATGTGTATCTGTGTGTCATTCGTGCATGCATGTGTACATTATATTCCGCTGCCAGGCCCGTCTGGAAGAGCAGCGCAACGTGCTAACGGCACAGCTGCGCCTGCTGATGGATGTTCAGCAGGAACGGGCCGAGCAACTCCAGCTACTTTTGGTAAGGCCAGGCTGCTGCAGTGGTGTTTTGCAAGCGACCTATCAATGTGCCCGCATGTTGTTTGTGCTGTCTAGGCGTTAACTCTACCACACCCTGTCTTTCACTGTGATGAAACAAGCAGCGTCAGCAGCAACAACAGCAAGAGGAACACTACCAACAAAAGCAGTAGCAATAATTCGTTGTTGCCATCTTCAATAGGTCCGTCAAATAGTAGTAATAGGTTTTTCATTTGACCCGACGAAACCACACGACGCTTGCAGACCACAGCACGAACAGTTCACCAGCCACACAAAAGCAGTAGCAACAGTAGTTGCATGCAAGCGATTATCTATCCCCCCAGCTTATTGTATTCCCAGTCCGGCGATCGAACGGTGTTAAGTTCCTATTAATTAACTCATGGTCAACCTGTTTTTGCTCTAACTTCAGGTAAAGTTCGAAGAGGAGCGTAAATCTGAGGAGAAGGACTATTGGCTGCGCATGTACCAGCGTCTGATGGATTCCAAGCCGGAGGCGCTCTTACTAGAGGTATGACTGCAGTGTGAGGGCATTGGCAGTGGGCCTTCCCTCGTCCTATGCAATGCCAGATTCGGAAATGCTTGTTTGGGGGCAGCAAGTTTCTGTAGTGATGCACAATAATGTTCTCTCAAGCCTCGCGTACATTTGGAGAGCTTGATTGCGAACGGATTAAAAAACCTCCAGTGACTCTCTTTGTTGTCATGCCATAAGTCCATTGCGCAATGACGTAATCTGTACCATGAACACCCCACACAGCCACCTGGGCATGGTCATCTGGGGTGTTGAACAGTGCATTGCTGATCCCAGCGTACTCACATAACACCCCACACAGCCACCTGGGCATGGTCGTCTGGGGTGTTGAACAGTGCATTGCTGATCCCAGTGTACTCACATGCATTACTCATACCTTCCATATTTGGCAATACGCAGTGGGCTTATTCTGCACTGTGTTGTTCTCACGTCAACAGGAGCTCTCTCTGGAAGAGTCTGTGGTGCACATGTTGCGCACTGCCAACGCCACGCAGTTCCTGACAGCGTTCGCGCGCAATCACATCTCCTTCGAGCTGCTGGTCAAAATGGACGACGACGACTTGAGGCGGGTGAGTGCTTGAACGTGTGCTGAGCTGACGTGTTTATATGAAATAGTATCCAAGTGAAATGTAGCTTTGCCTTTGACCTGTACTTAATGTTTATTCCATCTGGATCCCTCCTCCCCCTCCCCCCACCCCCACACACACACACCACTCCCCGACGTATCACGTGCTAGTAATTAGCGAATGTTTAGTCTAAACCTGTGTGGTGTGCGGCTCTCAAACCGAGGGTGTCCAGCTTTGCCAGCCCATAGAGCAGAGCCAATCCATGCTTGCATAGCAGTAGTGTCCATGATCGGTGATCTGCGCCGTGAGTGAGGTCAACTTTGCAAGGCAGCCAGCTTCTCACACCACCTGCATTACCATGTGTAGAAGGTACTGCAGGGTCGTCGGAAGGTATTCTACAGTTACACTTGGTGAAGACCAACCCAAAGTGTGTATTTGGCGCCCTCAACTTGCACGGCCCTTGACACCCTGGAAGTGGTAGGAATGCGGCTGTATGTACACATGTACAAGTACAATGATGCAATCGAAACTGGTCCAGGGTTGCCAGTTTTTTCACCGAGCGCAACTGTACTTATGTTGTCTACAAAACGTAGTATGTTTCAGTCAAATGGTGCAACAGATTCCGACAGATAGCTGAGTATTTCTTGATGGGCTGAACGGAAGCTGTGCTGTATGTCACCTATGTGTTATGTCTGTCCGCAACTGCCTTTCTACTACAGCTCGGCGTCACGTCCATCGGAGCAAGGCATGAAATTCTCAAGTGTGTTGCCGAAGAAGCAGCTATAGAGAGCCGTGCCAAGGAGAAGTCCATGGTGCTCCTCAGAGAGCTGGAGGAGATGGTGAGTTGTTGTACGAACAGACGATATGACATACTGTATTCCCCGAATATAGGTCACACCATTTTACATTGAAATTCAAGGGTAAAAAAGTAAACTAAAAAGGGAGTGCCACTTACAATCGAACATGATTTACAACTGAAGTGAATTAATTATGTTGAACCAATATGGCTCAAACCTGAAAATGGGGATGTGACTTAAAATCAAGTGCGACTTATATTCGGGGAAATGTGGTAGTCTTCACCATGGTGTTGATTACAGGTGGAATCCTGATAATTCGAACCTCAAAATGCCCGGAAAAACTTCTAATTATCCGGACATTCTAATGATCCAAACATGAACCCACAACACAATTATGTATGTCAAAATGCTCTCCTGGTCACGCAGAGTTGCGTTATGACACAGATTTCACGGATACTGAACTGACCGGCACAGCCTGCTCATGCAAACTGAACTGACCAGTACAGTGTACAGTGAACTTCGAATTACAGTTTGCTAACTTTGAATTATCAGCACAAATCCCACACATTTCTATGTAAGTGGAATCTGTGGGACTTCTAATTAACCCGACATATCCAGTTCGAGGTTCGAATTATCAGAAATGTTTATGTGGGAATCGTATTGATAGAAATCGGTCCTGGAAAAACTTTATTAAGCGGTATGTTCTAATTAAGCCATATTCGAATTATCAGGATTCCACCTGTATGCTGTAGAAATTTGCCACACGTCTGCCTTGCTTTGCTGGCCGGATTCACTTTGGACTGCCTGGTTCTCACTCTAGTTAACCCACATGTTCCCATCCCTGTCCAATCCCATCCCTGTCCAATCCCATCCCTGTCCAATGGCGTGGTACGTTTGCCTCACGTCATGTTCTGCCTTTATCGTGCTTGTTCTTTCGTTTTGCCGTATTGGGGTGCTCAGCTTGGCAGCCGGAACTCTGCTCTTCTATTTCCTTGTTCGTCGTTGAGCAATAATAGGGAGGTTTCGCTCTACGTAATTACGTATGAAAATCCGTATGTTGTACACGCCGGGGAGCGAGGGCAACTTTCATACGTAAATCTCTACGGATTTCCGTAGGAAAGCTGTTTCCTACGTTGGGGCCTCCGTAGGACTTTTTGATATATTTTTCGCATTTTCCTGATATATCCGTGGCAAAGTTCAAGCCACGCGAAACACAAGGTACACACACCGTATACCACGTGCAAAATACGATGGAAAACGCGATTTCGGTTCGTGGTGCATGCGGTGGGCGCATGCAGCCAACGCGTCTCCAAAGCAACAAGGCATGTTCAGCAGTCGTGGAGAAATCACGTAGAGCGAAACCCAACAGCGCTGATCTTTACGTATGAAAATTTTGTGCAGTTCCTACGTTATTTTCACACGTAATTCCGTAGAGAGAAACCTCCCTATTTACTAGTAGCTGCTGCAGGTTGTAAGATGTTCCTGCCTATGTTATGTGTTCTATTTTCTATTGCGTGCTCGCAGGAGCCGCATGAGAAGCCTGAACCCAGCGCTCCTATTCCCGGTCTGCCGATTGTACCGAGTGCACCCAGTATTTCTATAGATGATAGCGAACCAGCACCATCGCAAGCGTATGCATCTGATCTGGTGGGGCTGCCGCTTAGTGCTGGTGCTACTGCACCGCAGCCTGCGCATGTGACTCCGTCGGCGCCACTAGCAGAGGCTGAGGCAGGCAGTGGTGGCCCGGCCGTTCAGCTCAGTGAATGTGTCGTCTGCCTGGACAATCAGGTGAGTCGGTGTTGTGTGCACGTGTGTGTGTACGTGTGTGTGTGTGTGTGTGTGTGTGTGTGTGTGTGTGTGTGTGTGTGTGTGTGTGTGTGTGTGTGTAAAATTAGTGGCGTTCAATTCATCAGCCTTGCAAGCTGTTGAATTGTGTAATCCCAGCACAAGTTGCTGTGTCTAACATAGTCGTTCGCTATCATCGCTTCTGCGGTGGGCAGGTCTGAGGTGTGTGTGTGTGCGTGTGTGCGTGCGTGCGTGCGTGTGTGCCCACCTTTGTGGGTGAGAGAATTGTTCATGTGGTGCTGGCTGGATGATGCCATGATACACAAGTACTTTTTTGAAACTACAGTTGAAAAGAGAGAATTTCTGTCTGCAGTGAAGTTACTGAGGTTGCCAACTTTCAGACTTTTCTTTTGCGATCCCTTGCCAATGGCCCCACCCCCTCTTTCTCTCTATCTATCTATCTATCTCCCTCCCCCCCCCCCCCCCCCCTCTCTCTCTCTCACCCATACTCTCTCTCCCTGTCTGTGTGTATCTTTGCTGTTTTGCAGAGTAACTGTGTCTTGCTGAACTGTGGCCACGTCTGCAGCTGTGTCTCGTGCAGCCAGCAGCTTACCACATGTCCCATGTGCCGCGCTGAGATTGCCAGTGTGGTTCAGCTCTATACGGCATGAATGTGATGATGTAATGATGATGTAATGCAGCATTATAGCGATGGTGATGTTATGAGCGGAGATTGCCAGTGTGGTTCAGCTCCATACTGCCTGAGCATGGTGATGTAATGGTGATGTCATGGTGATGTCATGATGATGTTATCAGTTATGCAGCATTACATCTTTATACTGCCACTCGACTGGTCAATCTACCAGCACACTGATGTCATATCAGCAGCAGTGCTTCTTGCCAGATTTAGATAGCAGCTGAGCTGACGACATTATATTTATAGTTACAGCTCTGAACGGAAGAATGTCTCAAGAACACTGTAGAGTATTCATCATGTAACGTTTGAGCGTGGTGCAATTGAGTCCCATGCGTACAGCCGATACGCAAATTGGCTGCCCCTGTCGCGGAAATGCTCTCCACCACTCCATGAAAGAGTTCCACCTACCAGTAGCCACCCATGTCAATCAGTGTTCATGATAATTATGGCGATTACTAAACATGTTTCTTCAACACTTTCTAATGTAATATATAAATAGACGTATGGCCGTAAAACTAGTATTAGTCATCTTGACAGCAGCACGTGCGTGTGCGGGTAAACTCACAAATTACGTACACCTGTTACTTACACATGTGGGCAGATATTCTCACTTAGGTTTAGGTACGTCACAACTCATTACTTATCATGCTAGTACAGTCGTACACATTATGTTGATACATCCATCTCATTTGATACATCTCCTCGTTCCTCATCTTGTAATCATTGTCACTCACAAAACACATGCAATCTCCTTCATACTCTATCTGCTATCCTTCATTATAGTTCGTTATTAGCACCACCTGGTAGAGTGTTCCGCTTGTATACACACACACTGCACGTGTACATGTAGTAAAGATCCTAGCAACTGTTCTTTAGGGCTGAGTGCTACGTTTTCTTTATTCCATTACCACCTTTAATAGGTTCCGTCCCTGTCCCCCTCCTTTTGATGCCGGGGTTCCGTCCCTGTCCCCCTCCTTTTGATGCCGGGGTTCCGTCCCTGTCCCCCTCCTTTTGATGCCGGGGTTCCGTCCCTGTCCCCCTCCTTTTGATGCCGGGGGTTCCGTCCCTGTCCCCCTCCTTTTGATGCCGGCATCACTGAGGTTTTACATGTACATACATGTATTGTGTTTCTTGTAAACATTGTTGTGCAAGCTCTGTTATTCTTTTTAGTTTTTACATGTCCATTGCAAGGGTACTGTCGTATTTTTTGATTACTTTTCATCTCCTTTCTCGGCCCAGTTAACCGAATCACCGACGTATCATTGGGTATTCGTGCTGCTCGCACTCATATGCATTGCACAGTGACACGCTCGGCTGCGTGTGTTTGCAAGGGCATGGACTACTGGTGGAAAGATCACACTCCACCCGCGAACAAACCCCGCCGCCGTATGTGTATAGCAAACAAACCCCGCCGTATGTGTATGTGTATGTGTAGGGGCTGGTCCCAAAAAAGCTCTTGAACACCCATCATATCACTAGATCAGGGAGCACACATTCAGTTGAGAAGAAGGTCACATCTTGTCCATTGTCACATGATCATAATAATTATTAGCAATGTCTTCGCCAGTTATCATAGCAATATCAACAGCAACCGTAGAAACTATAATTATCATGAAAAAAGAGAAAGAAGCTCACAACAGTCATGAAATGTTACATAATCCTGCGATAGTGGTGGGTTATGGGAAAGTACGGTAGTATTTGGGTCTAGTCAATGGGGGTAGATTTCTGTGTAGGACTGTGGACGAGAACGGTCTGTGGAACATTAGCAACTGTAGGATATACGACGTCATGTGTACAATACTGTTCCGGTGGAATTAGAATTTGGACTAGCAAGGGCTTGAGAGGCAATTGGAGTAGCAAGGGCTCGAGAGGCAATTGGACTGGCGAGGGCTGGAAAGGCAATTGGACTGGCGAGGGCTGGAAAGGCAATCGGACTGGCGGGGGCTGGAGAGGTACTGACACATTCACGCTCGTCGTCCCAATGAGAGAAACAGAAATCAACGGACAGGGAGCGTGCATCGGCTAAGATCACACGCACACGGGTGACAGTGACAAAGCGCTCCGGGCAGTATTGCCAGGACATGGATCGTCAACTGTGCGCATCTAAAAGTTTCGTTCGGCGAACCAGCCACACAGGGGCACCAGTGCTGGGATAATTAGCGGACATTCGGGGAATACTGTGCAATCACTGCTAATACAACTAAGCTGCACTTGTGCATGGCACCAGGCAGTCTTGGCCAGCCAAGGCCTATGTATAAAACACACACTGTGAACTGGTGGTGGCAGCATACCATCACTCACACCTTTGTTGGCACATCATTGCCAAGACTCCTGTCACATCATGCAAGAAGAGGCCAGGCATATAATCCAAAGCTCAATAGCCATGCCCGGAAGTAGCGGATGATATTGATCAAGGTCGGGTGGAGCTCTTTGCAACTGAATGTATAACTGAATGTTTCCGTTCTCCACCGGGAAATCTGTACACAAGGGTTGCGAGATGGGGCGTTCAGTCAAACACAATCCGAGAAGACATGAGCGAACTCAGGTTTCCCATGAACTGCGGCGAGTCGTCCCGTCCAGCACTGGCTGACACAGCAACGTCATCAGCAATGGACGTCGCCGTCGCATCATCGACACCTGCAGGCATGCTTGCAACGTGCTCCGGTGACACCATCAAGTCCTCGTCCTCCGCAGACGACGGAGACGGCCGTAAGAGGCTGCCCACGAACAGCGCACCGCCAAAGCCCTCCGGTGCCTGCTCCTGGTCCTGATGCTGGTATCTGCCCATAGAGGGTAGGTTCTTGGTGGGGCTGACTAGGCTGGTCGACGCAGAGCGGGGTGGCGGGCTAACAGAGCTTCGGGACAATGAGCGGGTCTGCTCGAAGCGCTTCAGCACCTCGTACGAGGACGTTCTCCGAGGTGGTGCCGGTGGCTGTGCAGAAAGCACCAAAAAGAGCAAAGTAAATTATCGTGTCCGCTTCTGATGAATCCAGTGGCAGATGCTGCGGCTACGGTGAGGCCCAGGCGCGTGCACCGTATGAGTTTTTTGGTGTCTGGAAACCACCTTTTTTCGGGCAATCTTACCAAAAGAAAAGCGTGTAGTACTGGATTGGTTATCGATCCTGCAAACGTATCGATCGACGGGCAGTTTACAGTACAGTGACTATGTCCTTATTTCGAAGTGAGAGAGAGAGAGTTGCTTTGCATGCAGTTCGAAATACATTATTCTCTTTTTCTTCAGTGGAGAGTAGCCACGGAGGGATCGATTTCTAGCTCTGGTTCGCTCCTGGATTGGCGATGACGTTCAAGAAATCCGTTTTGTCTCGAAATTTGAGTCAAGCACGCGCGATGCAAGTCAGTTCAAGGATATGATTGACAATATCTCCTTCCAAACCGTTGACTCAAATCAAGATCGCCACAGCCTTTCGTTCTCGCTCATGTGCGCAGCAGAGACGTTCGTCAAAAACGTTGTCGACTGGAAGACATAAAAATGTGCGTCCATGATCCACTTGCGCTGCTTCAGAACGAAGCGCTGCTCCGGCCGCGACTCAAGGACGCGGGGCTTCGCTTTTCTTCCGCGAGCTTCCATCGAAGCAAGGTCCATAACTCTCTATTGAAATCATGTGGAACATTGCCAATACATGCTGAAAACTTCGTCATAAGAACAGAAAGAAAGATACGTCGAATGTAAGCAGTGTTTTGATGAAACAAACAAGCCTGGAGTGGACTAGTGAAGTACCATAGTCTGATAGACATAGTGTTATAGACTGTAGTGTAGCCCGGGCAGCTAGGCCTATCAAACCTTTACGTGTTCAATAATTATGACAAACATGTATATGAGTACATTGATTTTTGCACCCTCTTTGCAAATGCTTTTTGAAGTGCTGGTATGTAAAAGGTAACCCGTTTTATCCTGCTATCGATTATACATGTACCAACATTTCCATGTAACCGGCATCGTCCCCTCCCTCCATTCCTCTTTATTCTTATTTCTGTCCTTTCTACCCCTGTACCTGGTTCCCTCTCAGACGCGTTTGTGCCGGCATGATCTGATGATAGCAGTCGGACGAACCCCGCATCTCATCAGCACCAGTGTTCATTGGTGCCCTGCACCCCTGATCTTGAGTCCCCCCCCCCTCCCTCCTCCCTAGCCGGCTGCCCTCGCCGTTATCTCCGACGGGATGTTTGGGGGATGCGCATGTGCACAAAATTCATACATAATTATACAATGGGGCCCCAGAAAAATTTTTCCAACTCTAGAAACCCCCTTTCAAGACTCGGTGCACGCCACTGAGGCCTGGGGGGGAAAGTAACGTTATTACAACCGCTGGCATGGGTGCCGAAAACCCCACTGGCCGCATCAATGTGTACCCCTTCTGTTTTCTGCACCAAGACAGCATCAATGTACCTCTTCTGTTTTCTGCACCAAGACTGCATCAATGCACCCTACTGTAGGCTGCATGCACACCACAGGGTGACTATGCACTGCCAGAACACACGCATCATCTGCTGCCATGGGCCTGCAGAGACAGTCACATGCATCTAGACCCCGTGAAGAATGGTCCTAATGCGCCCACAATAGAGGATATGTCAAATAACGTGCAACTAGACTTGAGAGGGCATCGCACACAAGTTGCATACAAATTATACTACAATGTGTACACGGTAGGCCCTGAGCTGTGCAGGAACACTAGTCACAGGCACCCGTACAACTTTGAACTTTGTATGCAACTACTCTGCAATGCCCTCCCAAGTCTAGTTGCGCGTTATTTGGCATATCATCTATTACAATTATTGAATTACAATGTACCCGGTACTAGATGCAGGCTTTCCGGGTGTCACTTGAGCACAAAAAGTAAAGTTCGCACGTTCGAGCTACCACCGGATTACATTAATTTTTTGGGTTAAGAAACACAGCCAGCTTAGGAAGTTTCGCTTGTGCCAGGCCACCGCCATACCTGATTACTGTAATTTCACAAATTTTCGGTGTACTTTTATTTTCGGTACTTTCGGTGCGTCTGTTTCATACCTAAAATTTCAATACACCGAACAAACACTAACACACATAATCCAATAGGGAACTGCTTCTCTGTACCGAAAATTTCTGTTCACCGAACCTAGCCTGTTGCCCTCATACCGAAAATATTGAGCACCGAAAATTTCTGAAATTAGAGTATACCAGGTGGTCATGGCAAAACAGAGGAGGAGTCACTGTACACTTATGGAACACAATGTCATGTACAGTTCAAGCAGATGAAATCGCCCTGCGAGCTGCGAAAACCTAATTTTGGCCAAATTTAAGCTCAAACCCTCTCTACATTTACGAGTATTAAAATGTGATAACTTCGGGTTAGGGACCATTGCAACTCCATACGCCTGGCCATGTCAAACCGTCCCAATATTGTAACATCATGATGTTCCAACTCCCATCCTTCACCAAGCTCAAGTGTGAACAGGAAGAGTTGCATGGGTTCTGCAACGAGAGATATGCAATAGCTTGGTTGGCCATGCACGAGCACCAAGAGATCAGGGTGTCAGTTTGGGGAAAAAACTTCAAAAAAGGTATTGTAGTGCTGGTCATACCATCACAACAACAACAGACCTCGTACTTACCAGGAGACTTCCAGAGGACGGGGAAGTCATGACGGGAAGTTCACGTCTGACCACCTGCTCCTCTCTTACGATAGAGTCTTTTCGCTCAGGACTGGCAGGCTTGGCAGCGGATTGCACCGTCGTGGCCTTCATGTCTCGTCTGTCTTGAGTCGACGACTGCAAGGGCGATTGCTCTCGGCTACCGCCGGCACGATCTGCCGTGCTCTCCGCCGTGCTTGGCATGGGCTTGCCAAGAAGGGAGCTGACGAATGGCGAGAGAGGCTTGACATCGCCGAGCGGCGACGGCGTGTCCCTGAAGATGTCCGACTCCAGCGACATCTGGCGGTTGCCGGGACAGCCGAAGGCGCCCGCGTTGTCATGACAGCCGCGTCCGCCGTCGTAGTCATCGCTGCCGTCGCCCGGCGTTGAGCGAGAATTCACCGGTACTGGCGGCGGACTGCCGGACACACGACGCTTTGTTGCAGCGGCACGACTATCCGTCATCGCTGACACTCCTTCATTGTCCAATCGGTTCATCAACAATCCTACGAGCGGTTCGGTTAGATTCATATCGCCCGGTTGTGGTGTGGAGGTATCCGACTCGGCTTCAGGCACCGGAGAAGGAGGTGCTGGCATGTCCGGGGGCATCTCGTTCTCACTGCCGGCAGCTTGCGAGTCGGTGTCGACTGGCTCCTCCTGCTCGGGTATCGTGCTCGTTATCAGAGTGGCAATGTACTCTTGCGGCGCGTCTTGCTCAGCATCTCTGCTTTGCGGTTCCAGGTCGTCAGGGCTGTCGGTTGATGCCACCGTGTACGGCTTGGCTGGTGCCTGTGCAGCTTCGTCGTCCGGCGAAACGAACTGGTAGGACAGGTCTGGAAATCGGAGCACTCGGTTCAGCAGGGGCTGCACGGCACATTGGCAAAAAGCAGCAGTAATCACACATGCACACACACGGGCACACACACACACGGGCACATGCCAGGTTAGACACACCGTCTGGAGTTCTCTCATGTTCCCTGGAGTAGGATGGGGTCAGTAGCATGGACACTAGCTTCTAGTGACATGCTGCTAACAAAGGTTTGTTCATTAGGAAAAGTAGACACAAGCGCACATGCAAGCAAACACATGGACATACGGGACACGTGCTCACAGACACACACACACACACACACACACACACACACACACACACACACACACACACACACACACACACACACACATAACTATATGCGCAGGGATTTTCTTGGAAAGTGAGTTCCCAAACAGCACCACGTACATACCTCCAAATCGGGCTCAACGTGTCCAGACGAAACCATGGAGACATGCTGCACACGAAATCACAAATATCCACAGCTGGTCCATGCACATTGTTTTCTACCACAGCAAGCAATGTATCACACTCAGAGGTGTCACACACGGTGCAACCAGCATGACCATGCCCGTACCACTTTTCGTCCACAAGGGTCCGCCCAGCTGACCAGAGCACCTGTAGAGCGTTAAAACATGCCCTGTTGGCCGAAAAATCCTATTTTTTATGGGGGGGGGGGGGGGGGACACCCCGGACCCTGTCCCCCCGGATCACATGAGTTGCATGGAGTGGCAGTGATTTGCCATTCCACACACACACACACCCAATACTGCATGCATGCAAGACTGGCTGATAATCTGTAGCATAGCAGCGTCGTGTATCACTGCTGATCACCACGGCATAAAGACAAATCACGCCAGTCGTACACACACACACACCTTGCTCATGCAGCGGATGATACGACTCCGAATCCAAGCCAGTCTCTGCTGGCTTCTCATCAGCGCCTGCGCAGTGCTGAGAAACTTGTCGATGTTGTTTTGCCTGACAGCAGAAAAGTGAGGGAGCACAGAAAAGGTATAAATTTGAAAATATTTGCAAGTACAAGTAGGCGAAGTTCACCTCCAGGTCTGTACAGAACACACATGCTCTCATCTTCTTGCTTTCAGGCAACTCCTCACAGGCGAAGCGCATCGTGGACATGATAACGAACAGGGCACCATCACTGCTGTTCATTTCACCAAAACAATATGTTTCATTTAAAATCCACTGTCGGAAAACTTCTGCTTCTGAGCTGGAAAAAGCTAGTCCATTCTGATCAATTATGGCCTTACACCCACTATGCCTGCCAAACAAAGACAAATAGACAAATGAGCTGATAGGTGCTGAAGACGCCTATTATCCACCCAGCGAGGGGATGAAACGACATGATATATTTCCATCACCTTCCCCATGCAATTTCAAATTTGGACTTCACGGAGAATTTTCAAAGTGTTAGGACATTTGAGGCCACATGCCACGTACTGCTCTTTTCTCTCCGAAACTCAACACTTGCAAGCCAGATATGAAAGAAAGAAAAAATCATCAGTCACACCACCGGGACTCGAACCAGGGACCTTGCTATTCGCGAGCAATGCTCTAACCAACTGAGCTACAGTATGACTCTTATCCACAGTGATGGTAAATCTATCCTTCTTCGATCAATCAATATCTGGCTTGCATCATACTGGCAACTCACACCAATCAAGAGGGCCCTCGGCCATTCGCTTGATATCATGGGGAGCACATCAAACTATGTCCACTGCGAGCAAACAACAAATTGCAATTTCAAATTTGGACTTCACGGAGAATTTTCAAAGTGTTAGGACATTTGAGGCCACATGCCACGTACTGCTCCTTTCTCTCCGAAACTCAACACTTGCAAGCCAGATATGAAAGAAAGAAAAAATCATCAGTCACACCACCGGGACTCGAACCAGGCAGTGGCGGATCCAGGACTTGGCCGAAGAGGGGGCCCAAGGTATCCGCCCCCCCCCCCCAAAAAACAAAACAAAAAATACAACAACAACAAAGTCCTGAAGTTGTGAAGAGCTGTTGTATTTTAGGGTCCGGCGGATTCTGCCGGCAGAAAAATTGGCAGAATTCTGTACTTTTTCTGGTAAGTTTCATGGATGTTTGGTATGTGGATAAAAAATGGAGCAGAATTCGAGGAATTGCCCGCCATAGGGTTTGTATGGTTCTGCCAATTTCACTGCTTTTCGAGCAGAATATGCCACCTTTTCGAGCAGAATCCGCCGGTCCCTAGTTTTTTTCCATTCTCACGACATTTTCAAACTGCACTGGAACATTTCCACTCGACAGCGGCCGCGACGGACCTTTCGACGGCTCTCCAACGCGAGCTCTCTTATCTACCGGTCCACTGAAGAACGACCTGATGTCAGACCCTTTCCTCTTCATCTCATATCTGAAGGTAACCCGTTGGCTACAAGCGAAATAGAGAGCTAGAGAGCGTTTACTTGTAGTTTCTGACAAGTGAAAAAGAAAAAAAGGAAGGACGAATTCGACAGCACCGTGCACCATACAGGACTTCAGCCCAACGCGATCGCTGCACTATGTACCAGGCCCTGCATTTTTGGCACGTTTTTCACATGTTTGAAGTGCGGCCGTGTCCTCAGGTCGCAGTGCGTACAGTAGTTGTACACCGGTACACAGCACGTTGACTAGTACAGACTCAGTGCGTGACACCATGTACCGGAGTGACCGGACACGTATAAAAGTACCCAGCACGCGTGACCCACTTGACACGCCAAGTCATTTCGAGCGCTCATTCTACAGTCTACTGTAATCCTAGACCAAGGTCGAAATTTTCAAAGGGGGGGCCCAGGCCCCCTGGGCCCCCCCCTGGATCCGCCACTGCCAGGGACCTTGCTATTCGCGAGCAATGCTCTAACCAACTGAGCTACAGTATGACTCTTATCCACAGTGATGGTAAATCTATCCTTCTTCGATCAATCAATATCTGGCTTGCATCATACTGGCAACTCACACCAATCAAGAGGGCCCTCGGCCATTCGCTTGATATCATGGGGAGCACATCAAACTATGTCCACTGCGAGCAAACAACAAATTGCAATTTCAAATTTGGACTTCACGGAGAATTTTCAAAGTGTTAGGACATTTGAGGCCACATGCCACGTACTGCTCTTTTCTCTCCGAAACTCAACACTTGCAAGCCAGATATGAAAGAAAGAAAAAATCATCAGTCACACCACCGGGACTCGAACCAGGGACCTTGCTATTCGCGAGCAATGCTCTAACCAACTGAGCTACAGTATGACTCTTATCCACAGTGATGGTAAATCTATCCTTCTTCGATCAATCAATATCTGGCTTGCATCATACTGGCAACTCACACCAATCAAGAGGGCCCTCGGCCATTCGCTTGATATCATGGGGAGCACATCAAACTATGTCCACTGCGAGCAAACAACAAATTGCAATTTCAAATTTGGACTTCACGGAGAATTTTCAAAGTGTTAGGACATTTGAGGCCACATACCACGTACTGCTATTTTCTCTCCGAAACTCAACACTTGCAAGCCAGATATGAAAGAAAGAAAAAATCATCAGTCACACCACCGGGACTCGAACCAGGGACCTTGCTATTCGCGAGCAATGCTCTAACCAACTGAGCTACAGTATGACTCTTATCCACAGTGATGGTAAATCTATCCTTCTTCGATCAATCAATATCTGGCTTGCATCATACTGGCAACTCACACCAATCAAGAGGGCCCTCGGCCATTCGCTTAATATCATGGGGAGCACATCAAACTATGTCCACTGCGAGCAAACAACAAATTGCAATTTCAAATTTGGACTTCACGGAGAATTTTCAAAGTGTTAGGACATTTGAGGCCACATGCCACGTACTGCTCTTTTCTCTCCGAAACTCAACACTTGCGAGCCAGATATGAGTTGCCAGTATGATGCAAGCCAGATATTGATTGATCGAAGAAGGATAGATTTACCATCACTGTGGATAAGAGTCATACTGTAGCTCAGTTGGTTAGAGCATTGCTCGCGAATAGCAAGGTCCCTGGTTCGAGTCCCGGTGGTGTGACTGATGATTTTTTCTTTCTTTCATATCTGGCTTGCAAGTGTTGAGTTTCGGAGAGAAAAGAGCAGTACGTGGCATGTGGCCTCAAATGTCCTAACACCTTCCCCATGCACCTGCAATATTGCACCTCCACTTCCACTCATTACGAAGTGTGGCCGGGTCGTCCTTCATGGTGCGAGCATCAACAATGCGTCACCTTCATACCATCATGGCGGCTTTGTCAGCAGCAAGGCTCCAAAGCAGCAACACTGCCGCCGCTGCTGCTGCTGGCGCTGGTACAGTGCATGCGTGTGCCGAACTCTCACCTGTAGAGCTGTGTGAGATGTGTAAGACTGCCCTCAGTCTGTTCTTCCAGCGAGATCTGCTGCTCTATCAAGCTGATCGCGAGCTGGATATCCTGCAGCATGGCGCATGCATCGACACACACACACACACACACACGTGCGCACACACACACACACACACACCGACACACACACACACATACACACACACACACACACACACCGACACACACACACACATACACACACACACACACACACACACACACACACACCGACACACACAAGAACGCAGAAAAGAACACTTCAGCACTGTTCTCCTAGTATAGTTCTACCAAGTGGAAGACTACAATATGTCGCCAGTGCAGAGTACAACATACCGCATTCTACCATTTCATCGTGTGATTGTTATCACTGTCACCTTCAGTTCATCGTGTGATTGTTATCACTGTCACCTTCAGACATACCGATATACTTGTGACACGTTAGGGGTTGTCGCACAAGGTTTTTGTCGTCCCTGAAACGAACATCCTTCATTTCGTACTCGGACCCCTCCCCTCCCTATTAAACGAACGCAGCTTGCTCACCTGGACGACCAAAATCGCATGCATGTACATGGCATATAATCAGTGTCAGTCGACATACCTGCTGATCAAGTGACTTCATGACAGTGTCAAACGACTCATCACTGCACCGCAGGAGCAGAACTGCACCGCTGTTCGTACTCGTCTTCAATGGCGAACTGTCAGCGGAGTCATCTGTGTACAAGCACCAGCACACACACACACACACACACACACACACACACACACACACACACACACACACACACACACCACACACACACACACACACACACACACACACACACACACACAACCACACACAACCACATGACGCCAATCCGGTCAAGGCCTTGAGGTGTTCGGAAGGACAAACTATGAACTAACTTCCACAATCAAGAACATTGGTAATGGGAACATTCTCTCACTCTTCACACTCCACATGGAAGTAGAATACCACTGACAAAAAGAGTAACTCGGAGGATACGTAAACTTGTGTGTGTGTGTGTGGGGGGGGGGGGGGGATTCACTGGCCAGAAAAAGCCACTTCAATCAGCTGTGTGATGTAGATCAGGCTAACGTCAGAGGCAGTCAATTCATCAGGCCTGCAAGCTGTTGAATAATGTATTCCCAGCACACATTGCTATGGCTTACATAGCTTGTTCACTATCATCGCTTCAGTGATGGGCACGTGGAAGTGTGGAAATAATGGAAGCAAGTGTGTGCACACGTGTGTATGTGTGTGTGTGTGTGTGTGTGTGTGTATGTGTGTGTGAGAGAGAGAGATATAGATAGATAGATAGATAGAGAGAGAGAGAGAGAGAGAGAGAGAGAGAGAGAGAACGAGAGCAAGAGCGAGAGAGAGAGAGAGAGAGAGAGAGAGAGAGAGAGAGAGAGAGAGAGAGAGAGAGAGAGAGAGAGAGAGAGAGAGAGAGAGAGAGAGAAGAGAGAGAGTGAGTGAGAGAGAGAGGCAGAGAGGCAGAGACACATAATGACATTCCAGCTGACCTTCCTGGTTGCTCTGCTCGTCATCCATTAGCTCCTTGAGCGTGGCAATTTCGCTAAGGATTACTGGCACAATGTGGTAGGAGTCTAGGTGATCCGTGCCATCGTATGGATTTCGATTCTCTACAACACACCAGCACACAAACCAAACATATAGAAGCAAACAAGATTAGAAATGATAAGAAGGCAGGGAAGTGAACTGACGGTAGCAAGAAGGAACCACGGGCGTCGGCTTCGAATCACGCTCGATCCTTCTTTTGCAGCATTGGCGCCTAACAATGGCTCGAACCCACGATCCATCGTTCCCCCCGCGAGAGAAGGTACGGGGTAAGGAGACATTCTAGAAAGTTGTTATACTACGCAACGGCACCAGGTGCTGGATTTTTTTTTTTCAATTTTTCCACACATAACATGGGATTCAAACTCGCACTATTGCCGTGAATGCATCCCCTCAATACACTCTTTGCATACATATACATTCTACCAAGTTGCTCCACGATACGATCGCATCGTTGAAAGCCCTATTTTAAATGCTAGTTCGTGGCCAACTTTCTATTACGGTACGAGACATGTTCGGGATAGTGCGCCAGGCATGGCATGTCACGTGCTGACGGCCCTACGATGATCCCATACAGACTAATGCCACGGCTCAACCATTGGCTTTTTAAATTCGAAATACACTGCACGACTAACAACTAGTTTCACTTACGGTGAAACACCAGAAACGTTACTGTATACCACCCTGGATAGAACATACCGGTACCGTAGGATATAAAGTACCATTTTTATGGAATATTCATAAGTCTGAGAGAAGGAAAGGAGGGAAAGTCGGAAGGAAAAATACAGTCAGCACCGGGTATTTTTGAGGAGCTTGCATACTGCTATCAGTCAGTTGCCCTTGGACTTGTCGTCGCCTGTAAAGTATGGAGTACATTGATGTTTTACCCCCCCCCCCCCCCCCCCCCCGCTCTTTGAGGTGTTATACTTGTAAGGAATGTTCACTGTAGCTATGTAGTCTTGGTGCACAGACAGTTGTTACCATCGTACTGTAGAACCTACAACGCTGCCACCTAGCAATCACAGGGCTGGCACAGTACCATGACTGCATGAGCATGAACCGTAGCAGTGCATGGGAAGAGGAGGTAGCATTTCTGTGGCCACATCTGACTCAGGGACAGTGACTGGACAGTGACTAGACTGGACACAGTGACCAGACAAGTCTAGTGCAGCAGTCTGTGCTGCGTGCAAGGCTGATTGAATGATTGCCATTGTCACCACTGACCAGTAACACCCATCAGTGTTCTTACAAAGTACAATGTACGGTAAAAGTCCGCAAATAAGTACCTGCTCGGAATAAATACCCCCTTCATTCTTTTGACCCCGTCTGTTGAAGACGGTACGGTGCGCACATGCAGCATATAGCGTGACTGTACATCTACATGAAAAATGACTTCTCCACTACACACAAGTCACACAAGTCAGGTCCGAAAGTTAGTGTGTGCCCGAAAGTCAGTACCCGCCCGAAAGTTAGTACGGGTGTGGCCACGAAATTCGAAAGTAAATACGTACTTATTTACGTACTTATTTACGGACTTTTACGGTGACATGTTACAGCTGTAGTTACACCTTGAGTGAGCTGTACAGGGAAGTATTGTTCAATGAATGATGACAATCACAAAACACTCAATGAGTGAACCGTAAAACTGAGTTTGTACATGCCGCTAGTAGATGGCAAGACCACGAAGAAAGGCCTTCTTAAGTTAGTTTCCGGCATTCACTCGCATCCAACACAAATTATTGTGAAAAAATGGTATCCAGGAGAAATCGTCAGGGGTTGTCCCAGATTTCCGCATGGAGATAATATCAGGCGTCTCGCTTCAAGTGATGACGATTTCGCGATCATGCAAAAAATTGTCATGCACGCAGGTTGTGGTGAAGCCAGGTCGAACGAAAGACCCACGCTCTTTCATTCATTCATTCTTTCACCAATTTTAATACGAGGCGAATGTTCGCTTATGTGGTTGCTATCGGGCTACCCAGCGCGCCGCTAGCGCGCTTTCACAATGCTTCACTTTGCATTCACAGATATTGTGATTCAATCAAAGACTGACTTCAACGAACTAACTTTACTTCAAAGTTCGTTACGCGTGTACATTTTTGTACTACTAGTATTTCATCAGAGAGCTCGTCGAGTACACATTCCATGTAGGAAAACAGAGCAGGACGTGTTTTGATGTGTGCATTGTTTACCACAACAGACACAGTCTTTTCACAGACCTGCTGATCGGAAATCCATGCTCCTCCGATCTTCCGTGAGCCAGTCGGCAGTCTAGTCTAGTCGAACTCCGCTCGGGCTGACTTCCGCTGGTCACACAGACACGTACACGGCGCTAGCGGCCGCCAACACTGCCAAAAATATAACGCTACGGAACGCGATCGAGCAGGCTGCCAAACTGGTCCGATGCCGATTATCCAGTTTAGAGCAACGACGTCAGGTTAGGTGAATACAATTCAACCACCAGTCACAGTGCTAAAAGATACGATTATGAGACTCGTGAAGACGATCAGAACGATACAAGCCCCTTCCGAATGCGCAGCTTCCGCAACACTGCTCCCTGTCGGCGAAAGTGATTGCCTCTCCGCTTTTACGTTTGGCCCTGGGTCCGCGTATACTTCTCTATTAGTAGTGACCACTGGTGACCACCATCGAGCCTCTCGGGGTTCTGACACGCGCGACAGAGCTAAAGCTAATGACGCTAGGTCTGCACTGAGTGAAGTGTCACTCGGTGTCCAGGTCCAGGTACAGTGAGTAGCTGAATCGCTCAAGTACTAGTCTACAGTAGTACTTTCCTCTTCATTTAGTACATCATGTACAGCATGCAGTGGTATGGGAGCAACAAATAAAATTCCAGACTTCGAGTGCTCGAGTGGCTCATCACTTCAAGGTGGCATGGAGGCTGGCCTAAACGCGAACGCTGGATTCCAATCGAAGGCAAAGTAGTTATCGCACGCGACGATTATGTACCACCGTATCATAAACCTCCAGGCAATACACTTCGCTAGCAATAATGATAAACAAGTGACAGAACAAATTACTTTTGAAGGCTGGCATTACACTTTCTGCTTGCCAAAGTAGCTTTGCTTAGCTAACAACAGGAACATTGCTCATTGCATTTCACCGAACAATAATGAACAGGAGCGTGACATTAGTTGGGCGTGAAGTAAGTTAGTTGCAGACTGAATGAAGGCAATCTACCGCGCAGTCAAACGTCCAGCCTCTGCATGCCGGCGATGCCACTCACCCCGTTCCTCAACGGCAAGATCATCATCGTCGCCTGGGCTCTGCATGGGCTCCTGCTTGCCTTCTACTTCTAGGTTCTGCCTAGTTTCCTATGCAAGAACAAAACATTACAGCATGGCATGCACGGGGGACAAAGTAACAGTTGATTAATAGTTACACAACTGCTGCACCCGGGCACGAGAGGAATTAGAGCGGAAGTAGTGACGATGGCAAACGACGTTCAGACTGGTATGCATTATTGGAGTTGAAACACACACACACACACTGGGACAAATTTCTATCGGCGTACACCGGCGGGAAACACAAGTAAGTTAGTTAGTTGCTCAACAACACTGCGCTGCTTACCATTTTGTGCTCGAAACCGTCAGACAAGGCGACGTCGGCAGCGTTCCAAATACAACAAGCTGGGTACAGCCTACAGTACTACAGTACACGCGACCCAGTAACTCCAAATGTACTGCTACTAGTACTACTACTACTACTAGCAACACTAGTCCAACTCCAAGGACAAATGCTCGCGTCCACCCTGGCTCTAGGCTCTACTCTAGTAGTACTAGTAGAGCCAGAGCCCTATAAAACGATCTAGACTGAGCAGCGTTGCTGCAAACACACGCCAATATGGACCATGTGGACTGGGACACAAGACGCCACTGCACTGTGCACTTGGTTGTGATTTCACTGAGTTCTGCCTTCTTGTTGACAATAGGCTTGTACTTTGTAGGTACTACAGGTACTAAGGTAGGGTAGAGTAAAAAAAGACTGCTTGGATGGAGCCACAGTATTATCAGGCTATGTAATACCTCTGTTTGGACACGACGTAGAATATTGTGGTGACTTGAAGATTTGTGTCGTAGTATTCGCACCTGCACTGCACCTGACGTCTTTTCTTTACTTGGTCGTGGTCTACCATGCATGGTCTACCCCATGCACGCCAACACTACAAAGTACTAGCACTGAACAGGTCAGTCCACACATACCATGCATACTGCGTCGGTCTATGCAGCGCAAATGATTCTGTCAGTGCGGAAGACGTATTACACTCACAGCGAATTTGCCTTCGATTGACCCACATGACATGTAACCATGGTCGACAGACGACAGCCCTAGCCCGCTGTTACTGTTATCGTTGGTCGCTGGCGCACACACATCGCATTCCTGCACAGGTCCGCCGAGCATGCAGTCACGTCAGAATGCACACCACGCGGATCTACACGGCCATTCTCGATCAAGCAGCACGCCACCGGCAATGAACGTTCGAACACAGTCGAGTTGCGCGGATGGATCAGAAGTCATGGCCACTGCCACTGGTACCGCTATAGCGCTACAATGGCTATTACTGTATTGCCTTTCATCGTGTTTCTAGCACGCAGCTCAGTAACACTCATGGCAGATCCACATAATCATTGCCATTGGATCGATGATCGCTTGTGATTGTGAGAACAATGAATGTGTAGAATCAGCAGTACAGTCATGCAGACATCTACTGCTCTGCTGAAAAAGAAGCTTTTATCGTGGTGCAAAGCATGGCGCATGGCGAGACTCGGACTCCTGCCTGAGTCCTGGACCGGATACGGCTCAATCATTGAATCAATGTATGGCAGCATGTACAATGATTATGTAGATCTACAACGCATAACGAGGGGTTACGTGTAACACTGACAGTGAGCCCGTGAAACTGAAAGCGACGTCCAGCTTCGTTTTCATGGTGTTCGTGACTGCATGCCGCCGGCGGTCCATGCAGGCAGAGGCAGATAATGCAAGTATGTATGACCGGGCATCATGTCTACATGATCGTTTTGTTGCTGTCAGCGCTTGCTTCCAACCATGCACAGAACTAGAAAGAAAGGGCGATAAGCACAAGGAACAAAACCAGAATGATTTCTGCTGGGAACGAAGGGCAAACAAGGAGCTAGCTGGCATAGATCTACAATGTCATGTTTTACTTCAATAACACTGCACCATCAGGAATGGGAAAACGGGAGCACATAAAAAGGACAATAGAGAACAGTGGGAAGGTGGGTGGTGCTACACTGACTGGGTAGCCTTGTTGGTGAGTCTGGAGGCACTCCACCTGACCATTGGTCTCAGCATCAGCATGCCACAAGAGCACCAGAAAAAAGGGAACACATAGAAAAAGAAAACATACAACTATTTGTACTAAATAATTTAATTGCAGGCTAGCACTACTACAGCACCTCTCTACTCTCTACTCTCGTTGGTTTCTTCAAACTGCAGTGTTCGTTCACTATGACTGTACAGTGCTGGCAACTGAAATCCGACCCCCTGAGCGGTGCGCTCACATCGCAAAAAGACCCAACAAAACCATGATACCACGGGATGGTAAAACTACGAAAAAGAGACCGCCAGAATGTGAACCCACAGCTCAGGCAGGGGGTCGGATTTCAGTTGCCGGCACTGTACAGACTGTCATGTCAGTGTATGTTCACTGGCAGTGCAGTCTGAGTCGACAGGCGCTAGGCTAGTACATGACTGTACTACAATCATGTAGCTGGCTGGCTAGATGTATTTGTGCAGGCGTTGTGGCCGGATCGATTCCTGAAAAAAAAGAAAAGAAAAAAGTAGCTAGCTAGCTGTAGTTACGGCAGGCACACACCACCACTGACCCAGTGACTCGACTGTGACAGGTATTTCACGCACGTGGTTGCAGTCAAATAACCCAGCGGAGTACAGACAGTGACTACGTAGTGTGTAGTACTACTATTAGTACAGTGGTCCCTCTATAATCCGGCACCATTTGTGCCACGGAAATCTGCTGGATTAGGGAGGGTGCTGGATTAACAAATCTGATGTACTGCTGCAATGTGCATGAAGAGGACATTTGGCTACTGAAAATTGTGCTGGTTTATCGAGGGTGCTGGATTATAAAGTGCCGGATTAGAGAGGGACGACTGTAATACATGTAATAATTGTATGATGTACTCATGTACATGTAGTAACTAAACAGTCACTTCGTGTGAAGTCCGCAACGCCTGTCAAAATGAAACGCCAAGAGCCATTCTTTACTTCTGTTCTGTCACATTCCACAAGCCACTGCTCGAGACGCAGATCAAGACAAGTAGGCTCTCAGCTCGCGTGCATGTCGCACAGACAGTCAGTGCACGCACAGTTCCGTGAGACTGAGAGATGAAAGATGGGACGGCCCGGGAGACTACAATTGTGTAGAGTGTACCATCAATGTCACTGACGACATGGCTGGACAGTTCCTGTCAATACGTTTCTCTCTGTGACAGTCTACTCGTGGGACTGTCCGAAGTGGACAAAACTCAAAAGGTCAACCAGCTGCTTCCCTCCACAGGCTAGGCTGGGCAGATCATCATCTAGAGATCAGCAAGCTCAGCCCTACATTATGATGATTACAAAGGCTACAAGTACAACGTTACCAGTCCTGGAGATGTCCTAGATAGGACATCACGGAACCCAGCATGCCCCAGCATACATACTATGCTGTTCCCATAGTAATCGTGACACGTGACTCAAAACTTTGTGTCGCGGCCGAGGAAGATGAACATGTCTCACTCAAAACAAACGCAACGAAGGCCTTTCGTCTCAAAAGTAATTATTAGTTGTCGTTCTCCTGGCGGCTTGCCTCAAGCGAGTCGAGATTCGTATCTTGCCTCTTGCCTTCACGAATTTTATTTTCCTCGATGTGGAGTACGCCTGGACAAAGGAACTGGCAAGCGAATCGTTTTGGTCGCATTGAAAATTGCAAGTGCACAAGAGGGTTGGCGAAGCACTTTCAGCAGAGCAGTAGCTGCTGCTGCGATAAAGTTTTTACTTTCGCCACTGGTTTCAGGCAGCAGAAGGATCTGGCTGAAAGCGATGGCGATACGTCCATGACCACCACGTCCTGGGTTGATATCCAAGAAAGACCGTCCAAGGTCCAGTTTTAGCCAAGAGCTGTCGTATCCAAGAAATCAAAAACGCCAACAGCAAGCTTTGGCCAAATAATATCTTCCAGGCAGTGATTTACGGGCCTAGCGCCTGCTGCCTCGTCTTCCTCCTTTGCATGGCCAGGTTTGGGGCGAAATGAACGCACGGGGCGTGAAGAAACATTCCAAAGGCAAAACATTCAAAATTAGAACCAATCGTTTCCGAAGAAGCGCCGCGTGGCTACGAGAAACCCCACATGAAATCCCCAAACGAAAACGGCCATTCGGTCGGGTATTCGATGGCGAATCGAATATACACTACCTCAATCCCCGCCGATGTCTGATATTCTCCGCCTGTTCCCTCAAACTTGACCAATTCGGAAAGAAATCCATCGCCATTACGATCGTGCATCCTCCACATACATTCAGAAATGCTCACGCAGCACTTCTTTTCATCGCGTGTGCGCGACCGACGCTTCCATGACAACTCTGGGACAGGTAACCAATCAGACTCATTCAGAGTGCGATGTCCTAGATAGGACATCTCCCCGACGTGGTTACTTAGACCAGCGTTTTGGCCAAGTCAAGTGGTTGTGGGCTTGCCTGCGAATCACAAGGTCCCGAGTTCGAGACCCGCGCTGGGATCCATGGGAGCAGGGAGCGTGTACTGTGCTAGCAAATGCGGTGATGCACGCGTGAACCACTGTACATGCAGTGAACTGCGCCGACGCCCACGGTCAACTGGGTACTCACTACTCGGAGTGAGGGTAACATGGATGCAGTAACGAGGTTAGCCCCCTTGTCGGGCATTGGTTGTGAGCAGGGAGTCGTAAAAGCCCGGGAGAGGACACGGGATGCGCGCACGCGGACGATGTTTGCCTCGGCCAGAAAGTGAAGCACGCTAGGCCGGCGCGGCCGGATCTGCTCGATCCACGGCGCTGTGCTCGTCTTCAGGGCAGGGAGTCCTAAAATACCAATATTTTACGACTCATTGTTGACACCATAATCCGAAACTGGTGGTTGGTTGGTTGGTTGGTTTTTATTTCACTTCGCACATTCAAACGGGATGACGACCCAATAAAATGACGGCGAAGGCTTAGCCTAGAAGTGGCTATGGAAGAACATAGTAAAAGCTATGGAAGCACATAGTAAGAGAATAGGATACTAATAACTGCGGGTAAACGGGGGGAGAGAGAGAATACGATGTATCTGTGATACTACGTGCGGGTTACTGAACTGCACGGGGAGGGAGAGCAGAGCAATCAGCAGCAACTCGAACTACTCCCTACAGGCGTATGGTACACATGCATGCTTAAACTCAGGTAGCCGGGTAATTGTGCGGACCTCACCAGGGAGAGCGTTCCACAGCAGAGCACCAGCAACAGAAAATCTCCGCTGACCGCGGCGGGTACGGTTTGCCTGGCTTAGTAGGCCATTTGACTGCTGATGGCGGGTAGGGGTGCCTTGTGCCGGGGTCAGAAGCTGGGCGAGCACAGGGCTGGTGCGGGCGTTGATGCACCGCCAGATGGTGATCAATATTTTCTGCCTGTAGAGCTCGCTGACACGGTACAGGGAGTGAGCAGTGAGCAGCGGCTGCATGGCTGTCCGGGGCGGGTTGCCATCGATACAGCGGATGGCTCTGTTTTGCGTGGTTTGCAGTCGTTTCAGTTGACCCTCTCGCATTGCGGCTGAAAAACAGCAGGAGCCATAAAGCAGGTCGGGCATTATGACCGCCTTCACATACACCTGACGAGAGCGTCTTGATAGGCTTCGGCGTGCCCGCCACAAGGCGCCAATTTTCTTGGCAACCTTGGTGACCACATAGTTTACATGGGTGTCCCAATCTAGGCGATTGTCAAGGTGAACGCCGAGGTAGCGCGCAGAAGACGCTGAGGGGAGGAGACAGTCGCCGCTTTTGACTGTTACTTCCTGTACATGCTGCTGGGGAGAGATAGTCAGAACCTGGCTCTTGGTGGCGTTCAAGATAAGGCCTCGGGACTT